AAATATCACTGAGATGATTTAGGAAGTGAGATGGTGATTTATCATATCTAGGAGGTGCCTAGGTAGAAGTAGCATTGGTTAGGGTTAGGCGAGAAGTTATAAACGGGGGAGTTTAACTTTGAACTAATATTGCTGATAGTGGACTTCCTTCTTAGCTTGGTAGCCCCCAGATGTAGGTGAGTTTGCACCGAACTTGTTTAACAATTTTATGGGTTATTTATTATTCTGCAATTTAAGTTTCATTATTTTGTGATAACTTGATGAATATGTTCAGGATGTCAAATCAGATGTTGTAACATCTTCCTTGACATTGTTCTGATCTTAAAAAATCAATATTACCATGTGTTGCATGTACCAGAGAAATTTCAACATTGAGAGTATTATTCGGGACTAAGTGAAGGAGAGGATCGTTTCTGCTTAGATAGATCAAGTTAGACACCTCGGCAACATAATAACTAACACAGTTGAATCTACACATTCGGCATTAAAGAAATGGTTGGGTGATAGTAAGGGTGATTTTTATAGAGAGATGGACACCGTGAACCAAATGCTCCAAAACCAACATAATGAAATACAAACAACTTTTGGTCAGAGCATTATCGTGTTAGAACATATATTCAAAGGCAATACCCTATATTCGCATTTGGTTGGCAATGTATCTCAGGTGGGGTTGAATTTCATTTTCCACGAAGCGAAGCAAGCATAGAAGACAGATTCTGATAGTTTTAAGTTTGGATGTACTCTTAGGAAGACTTGTGGTTTTCCATGTGCTTGTCTCATTTCAAAAAATATGAAGCTTGATTACCCGATACGTATGGATGAAATCTACAGTCATTGGAAAAGGCTTTGGTTTGATGATGATGGTGTGACGAAGGGTGGTAAAGCAGGTATAACTATCATGACCAGTGGAAAATAATTCAAGATATATTTTCTAAAGCAGATGATACCATAAAATTGCACATCAAAGAGTAGTTGAGAAAGATTGTCTATCCAAAAACCATAGATTTGAAACCTCCTTCAGAATCGGTTAAAACCAAAGGTGCTCCTAAAAAGGTCAAACCGACACGAGATGACAATTCAACGAAGTGGTTGGTCTCATACTTTGAACATGTTTATTCATATTTCATGGATTCTTCAACTCCAAAATCTCAACAAAAAAATGTGTACAAGGGTGCTCGCATTAGCAAACCGCCTCTTTCATATCTTGTGCCGAAAATAATCGTCATTGAAGAAATGTCGCTTTTTATGCACAAACACATTGAGTGAATTATAAATGTTAAGGATGATGGTAATTGTGATTTTCTGGTTGTATCCAGCTTGCTCAGTAAAGGAGAGGAGAATCACTTTCTTGTCTGCCAAACACTTTTGAAATAGTTGACGGTGTATAGGAAATTCTACACAATGTTATATGGAAAAAAGATTATTTTTATGCAATTTAATATGCTCTTACTCCTTGTGTTTGCGGTCTCGCGCCATTTTCAAAATTGCACTTCCCTGAAATGGACTATATTATAGCAAGTGCAGATAACAGGGTGTGTATCGATCTGACAAGATTTGGTTTTTCGTAGACATTTTTTCCACTTCGAAATGAACCACCTAAAGATCCTTCCGGATGCATCATGTGTATATAATGGCTTTCAAAATTGCTACATTTTGTTGAGTTTTTTTGAAATTGGTGTGTCATATACCGAGTACATCGTTGAAGTGGACGACACATTCCATAAAAGAGGCAAAAACTTGGTCGAATCAATTTCTATAAAGGATGGAAGAGTTCACCAAATTGAGCGAGCTTGAAAGAGAATCAAGTAAAGAAAAATCGAAGGAGGAACCAATCGTAGATTTATATGGTGGTGTATCTTTTGATGCATTTAAGATTGTAATTGATACTTTTTAATGTAATGTCGTCAACGATGTAATCTTGATACGATTTAATACTTAAGTAACATATATTTAGTAATTATAGCGTAAACGTTGTTCGTTTCTGCTAACACATTTTATTGTTTACAATTTTTGTTTATGTTATCTAAGTTCTTGGTTTATTTTTTGTTTATGATGATTTCAGTTATGCATATTCGGATAAATCCCATTTTAATTTTATTTTTTTAAACACCAGAGAACTTTTCAAATTTGCATATCCGAATAAACCTTTTTTCGTAAAATAATAAGATTTATCTAGATATGCATATCTAAAAAGTGTTTTGATGACATGATAAGGTTTATAAGATGCAAAGTGATCCAAGCCTTGTATAAATAGGTTGTCACTCATCCCATTTTTTCTATAAAATACCCAATATCAGAAAATGAATACAGGTCCTCACCTTGCATTTGTGTATTTCAATAGTGAGATGATGTCACTTCAGTTTAAGGTTTGTGAGGACATAACTTGCGCCGACCTGATATCCAAATTGAATTCGCTCCTGCGAATATCCAAAAAATCGACGAGTTATCAAGCTCGAGTATAGTTCACCCTCGTTTGACAACAACGGAAAAATATAATTCACCAATTTCAAACTAAAGACAGATGCAAATTTAGAGTTTATGTGAAGTATTTTTTACCGATATGAAACAAAGGGTCTGATTGAAGTGGATGTGAAGATTGCAAGATTCGTTGAAGATATTGTCAACATGTTACAACATCCGAAACTACCCGTTTATAACGATGTATAATGTTAATTTTTTTATTATCATTTATCTATGTAATATTGAATGTATTAATTTATTATCAAATTGTTATGATTATCAATTAAAAAATTCTTGATTAATTAATGATATCCATATTGTCTTTATTTCTATTTTTCATTTGAAATATCAAAATTATTTTCAAAAATACATCTTCGAAGCATATGACATATAATTTCGAAGATGCATCTCCAAACTAAAATTAAGTATAATGGAGAATGGGTGAGTTTGGAGATGCATCTCCGAATTAAAATTAAGTATAATAGGGAATGGATGCGTTCGAAATACATCTCTAAACTTTGGGGACATTTTTGGATTTTCACCAAGGGTTTGTGAGAAGGCATAAGGGTGGGAAAAGAAATTGTCAGCCTTTTCAAGATAACATAATCAAGTTTGAAACTAGTATTTTGGCCGAAGACTCAATTCGTCCACATAATAGAGAATTGTCCAATGCACTCCATGAATTACTCACACACCCCAATGAAATCCGAAAAAAATACCCTCAAATTTTAATTTTAAAATTCATAAACACTTAATACGCAACAAACCATCTTTAAAACACGACTAATTTAAATTTAAAAACACTCTGAACTTTAAAATCTTTATAGTAACTTACGGAGATTAAACTCTGGATGCGCTTAACACATCACACTCTTAGGATCTACGTTGTGTGTCAGCTCTTGTCTATGGAATACGGTATTTGGATACGTCTAATAATTTTATAGAGTGTCACATCTTACATGACACCAGATGTAGAGAGAGATTTACTGAGGTAAACTCATCAGGATATCTTATAGGAGAAACATGCGAGGGTGAAATATGTCATTGATGTGTCACTGATATATCATCATATTGTGACTATTGGGAGAGAGGTCATAGTCAGGGGCAAATTTAAAGAAGAGGCTCCTCATAGTCACTCATTAGATCATCTTAGCATAGGCACAACATGTGTTGTATACAACGACAGAGAATTTTATTTTGTATATTTTGACATTTTATATTATAATTTATACTTGAATTGATTATTACATTTTGTATTTGACATTTCAACATTCATATATATACACGATAGGTCTTTCATTAATTTTATTATTGAATGACAAATATGTATGATTTAGGGTGTGGTTTATTGTAAAATTGATTTATAAATAATTGATAATGTAAAATTTATTAAAAATAACAAATTTCTTCTAACTTATTTGTGTGAAATACTGTCTTAAAATTAATAATCTAGACTAATTTTTGACAAAAATAATATACCTCAATCAATTGCGATTTTGTTGTAGAATAGAAACGTAAGAAACTTAAAATCCAAATTATAAAAAGGACATTTTGAAATTTACAATGTGTAATCATACTTTGTGATTACTAAATAGAATTATATGACACCCTAATATGTAAGTCTGGTCCCTGGACTAATATATCCAAGGTATCTTGCAACAGTAGTCGTGAATTATGATGTTGCAACTTTACCACGGAAGGGCGGTAAGCAAGTGCTAACAAGAGTATAGACGTGGCACAAAACCAAGTGTTTGAGTGAGTCAATAGCATTGCTCATCTGAATAAATATTAGATTGCAGTATGCTTAAGGAAATGAGAAGACTCCATTTTAAGATAAAAACAAACATAAATGGTCTTTTTCATAAAGAAATAAGTCATGTCTGCCAAAATTCTATGTTCAATTCATTTTAACTAAACTTAGACTGGAATTCACACTTTTTAAGTGAACAAGTGGAGTGTCACACGTTCAAACCCACGCTCATATATCTAATGTCCATTTGTCACAGATTCAAACATACGCCCCTATATTTAATGTCCTTGCACATCTGCCATCTGAGATGACTGAACACGTGTTGATAAAATTCATTTCAAATTAAACCAAGTAAACAACACTACACAAGACTGGATTCAAAAAATCATAAAACACCCATTAAAAGATAGTCAAAGCATTGTCCATCTACAGAAACCCATACCCATTATCGATAACCCTAAAATGAAAAAAGAAAGGTCAATAGAGTTGCATATAAATAGAAAAGGAAAATTTGGAGACACATTCAAATTGATACATTGCATTCTGGAACGGTACACATGCCCCCAATAGCATCTCCTGTTCCTCAGTTTCTCTCTTGAAAAAGGTTCAATATTAATTCAAGTAAAATAACACGTTCAGTGAAGCCTAACTTTGAAAATAACGTCCAGTTTAGCCTAACTTCGAAAATAAGGATCAGTGTGATTCACAGCTCTCATTTCAACTGGTATATGAGGTTGCATATTACTGCAGGGCACAAGTTACTGCCAACAGCAACTCGACCATAATTGTATCATAGGAAGTAGTCAGGGGTTCTCCTAGTTACATCTGGCTCTCCCCTCCTTGGAGCTGGCTCAAACTGGAATTAAAAATTAAGACAACTTCATGTAACAGACACTAATCACAAGACTAAAAGTGTTTTGTCATGCAATATAACTACATTGCTTTCAAGCTAACCTGAATGAAAAGTAGTTTGAATAGGAAATAAAAGAATAGGCTAAACCTGAATGAATGTGTGTCCTTTGCAATCATCAACTTCGAGGATGGATGCCATGTTACCACAGCGATAACAATAATTAGGTGCACTGAATATGGTAACCACCTTTTGATCCTGCAATGAGGCACTATGAATCAGCCATTTACCACCACACATAAAAAAAAAAACAAAAAATTAAGAGTTCGGATATTTACATGACCCCAGTTATATCCTTCCATAACCAGCTGGTGAGCTCTAGCAATCAGCTTCAAATTATTGGTATGGTTAAACTGTTCAGATATGTCCTATAAAACAAATACACGTAAGCAATCAGCAAAACATAATGATGTCAGGCAAAACCAATACAAGATAAGATTTATACACAGCAGATCTGGTACCTGTCCAAAAGTGTATCCAGCACCTCTAGGAGAGATACCCCAACCACAGCGATCATCCGGATCAGACCATAAAAGATCACACATGGGTCCCTCATGGGGAACTTCTTGCACACGGTCAAAATTACGAATGTTGTCAAGGGTTTCAATTGACGGAGACAGCCCACCATGAAGACAGAATATTTCAGATTCAACCTTTAAAAGAAAAGAATGTCACTTCAGAAACATTTGTTTATTGAAACACAGAAAACTAGGTGTAACATGTGAACTACAATTACATGGGTGGCATATCATGAAATTTAAAGAGCAATATAACTAAGTATCGGGAGCATACGTTTTCAGAAGGAACAAGAGACACCGGTAACTAGAAACAACTAAAAAGAAGCCTTAATATCATGAGTACTAAAGACCAAAAAAACATGGAGCTGGAAATGGTGACAATCTAACCAACATACTAATAACTCCCGTCAGAGTCAAAAACAAAATATATTATAGTTCTTTCCAACATTATGTAATAGCATACTAACCAATGCTGTCAACGGGAAGTAGTCAAACAAATCAGTGAACATCTTCCAAACATTAGCACTACCATACCTGTGAATCAAATAAGAAGAATATTCACTGACACAGGATTGCACAACTTTAAATAAGAAATTGGAAAAGATATTAGAAATGGAAAAAAAAATATCAAACAGAAGAAATGAACCACAATAGTAAAGATAAAGTAAAGCATAAAACCTAAGTAGTGATATAATAAAAATTCTAAATCAAGTCTATTAGAAAAAGGTAATTTAATATATTGTATAACTATATAAAACTTTAACCTGGATATTTGTGTGATAGTGTGATTAAAAGTAACCATAGCAAGAGATAGAACCCACCATTATTTATGTATGGTCCACTGAATTTGCTTGTCTTTCATTTTTATAACATAACATGATGGCATTGTTGTGTTACTAAGTAAAATGAGAGGATACAGACTTCTTTAACAAATTGCACAACTGATAGTATATTTATTAAGGGCACATTTGTGCAAATTAAGAAAAACAAACTTTCTCCAAAGAACCTATAGTATATTCAATGACATAACATAAACTTTTTAAATACCAGTCACGAAATCAAGTAATGTGTCTTGGAAACTTAAATGAATTGATAGTTAGTACTACTTAGAGATAAATGGTCTACTTTCGAACTTAATACATGACAGAAAATTATTATGACATTATCTGACCTGTGCAGTTGATCTATCTAGTAGGAAAAAGCCTAGCAAATAGCTATTGTTGTTGTACTACTAAGTTCAGTAATGTCTTTTACTATTGATCATGAATCAAATCTCAGCTTTTCAATCTTAATAGTTAAGCCAAACTGCAACAAAACATATGCTATGCTATGACAAAACTTATGCTATGACAATGATATACTCCCTCTGTTTCAAAATGATTGTCGTTTTAGCAAATAAAATTTGTTTCAAAATGAATGTCATTCTCACTTTTCAATGTTGAAATGATTGCTATTTTTCCAATTCTATCCTTTAATTATTACACTTTACACTACTTCCAACATATTTATAAGGTTAATTTAGTAAAAGTGCAATGTCTTATGACAACAATATTAAATTTCTTAATTTATGTGCAAAAACCTTAAACGACGCTCATTTTGAAACGGAGGGAGTAACATTTTCCTTTTTACTATTAGTATAAGAAAGTGGGCCAAATTAAAAATATCTAACTTTCATAAAAAAATGAGATCTTCCATTAAAAAACAATAGATAACGCACACAACCTATCATGAATCATATTTGATGAGATACCATTTAGATCCAAATCTCTGCTAATGATTTAACCTATAGTTTTCCTTGGTTTCCATCTTATCTCTAACTATTGGACTATCCCCCCATTTAGTACATCCTTTTCATTGATGCTTACACAATCTTCTTCGTACATCATTAACAAAATTTCAAGTAACTTTGAAACATGTGACAATAGGAAAATAATACACATTAACGATAGTGCTGAAATGCTAATAAGGAGTAAAGAACTCGCAGTTAAAAATTTCACAAAATTGTGTTGAATAGAAGACAGTGATAAATAATATCAAAGTTATCTTAAAACAAAGGCATCCTGAAAAGGTGAATTTAGCAGATACTTACTTCCGTAGGCACTCGTCATAAAATCCATAAACTTGAGTAATCTGCATAAAAGCCAATATGAATCCATAACTGTTCAAAGCTAAAACATACAGAAACAACTAAACAAACTACTGAACTAGGAAGTCGTGTTTTACTAGTACTATGACTAACTTCAGCCACTTAAAGTAATAAGTTCCAACTCCGTAACTGTTTTATCAAATTCAATGGTATATTACTTTACGAACGACATAATTTGGTCCTCAGAAAGAGTAGGTATCAAATGTGCATGATAATGTATATTATTTCCGTCATCTGATATGAGTGAAAGCATCCAATTGGGGGCAATAGTAACTTTCCGGTAAAATTTGATAGAAATTGGTTTTTGCCGAAAATCCAGCCGATACTTATAATGGTATTGAGGACCTAGTTAGGAGTTTAATCACATATTTAATTCACTACTGTCAAAAAGACCACATGATAAAAACTAGAACAAACCTGACGACTTTCATGATTTCCCCTCAAAATAGTGATACGCTGGCGATAACGCACTTTAAGGGAGACCAAAAGCTGCACAATGACTTAATTAGTGTCAAAAAATGTTACCTACAAAAGATTCTCAGATTTGTGAAATTATAATGACAAACAAAATGCTTCTTTTTCAAATACAAACAAACAAGAGAGTAACGCATAATAGTCCATACTCACCGTTACGGTTTCGACAGAATAATAGCCACGATCAACATAATCTCCCATAAACAAGTAATTTGTATCTGGACACTACCAACAAAAAGATGTACTAGAAATTAGAATTTGACCATCAAATGTCATATTTCAAGTACAAACAAGAAAACATGTACTATACAAGTAATGCTATGCTAAAAAATAGTGGGCCAAAAAAGCCGTGTTCTAAAATAAATAGGACATAATTTCTAAAATTTATAATAAGACAGAGACAGAGCATGAAAGGCTTCTGTTTGGCTATCAACACTTATTAAAGATAAGCTAGGCTACAGCTGATAGAACTGACAGCTGTCAGTAGTAGCTAAGTTAAAGTAACCTGCAGGTTACATGATTGCTTGCTTATATAAATGCAATCAAGTTGTAACTTCAATGCAATGTTTGAATAATAAAAGGAAAAGTTTGTTGTAACTGAATTATGAAGTGTGTCACCATAACTTTCTAACAACACTGGAGGACATATTTAAATTAAAAACGAGACTTGGCAAGCTGCTGCATCAAAAAGTTGAATCAGCTGATTGTACTCGATGAATCAGTCAGCAGGAACTAAAAAACTTAATGGGCATCAATTGTGATACAAATATACAAGGAAAAGAAAACTTAGCCAAACAAACAATTTTAAACATAGGTGTCACGTGATTGCAGGATATTAGTATCAATCAAATGAATGGTTTACACTACAAGGATAATTTGAGGGAAGTTATATCTATTACTACTATTAAATTCCCAAACTTGAACATCACCTAGCTAGTAAGTGGAGTTTTAAGGACTAAACAGCAGTGAAACTTTGATAAAGGAAGGCCTTTCTACATCGAAGATGCATGGCATTTCCTGATTTTCCAAGTATTTTTTTACTCTATACATCTAATTTCATGAATTTGGCAAGAAATAAATGTTAAATATAAAGCTAACTATGAGGAAAAATACCTTCCCTCCGATGCGGAAAAGCTCTGCAAGATCATGGAATTGCCCGTGAATATCACCACAGATTGTAACAGGACTTTTTACAGGCTGCATTTGTTGGCAAATGAAATAATCCTTAGTTTTCGTAGTCATACAAACAGTATAAATACACTTAAAATAGAAAGTCAAATTCATCATATATGGAATACACATAGCCCAAACAATTACTGAGAACTCTTCGACTGACAATAGAGTGATAAACAAAATTGAGGGGGGAAGGGTGCATAAAGCCAAAATGTAGGCATCTTATGAGACCAATGCACAACAACCCCCCCGGTACAGATGGGCACAAATATATAAAACTCGCTGAAATAAAAAAAATAGACTAACAAACCTGGACATTGCTCTCTTCCATCAAAATCTCCTTCGCCTTATCACACAAAACCCTAACCTGTATATACAAGTGCAAATGTGGTCAGAGTTGGATAATGAAATGAAAAGGAACCACATTATCTCAATGCACGACTTCTTTAGTGGAGAGGCAAAAGAGAATCAAACAAATACGAGATAAGGAACATCCTAGACTACCAAAACTGCTTTTTGGGAAAATAGATTATAGTCTCAAAGAAAATTAAAAAAAGTAGAGTAAAATAGAAAACATGATAGTAATTTTTACAAATTTTGACTATCTCGATTAAGAAACAGATACCTTTAGTTATGCTTGTATTCTGTTTCTGTGATATCAGAGTCTTATGTTTGGTATTTAGTTTTCATTTATGAAACCGAGCCAAACTCATTATTTTCTAATTTCTAATTCAATTAATCAAGGTGCAATCTCGTTGATTGAGAGCTCGGTCATAGGCATATATATGTGGACTGTTTGTGGTGCAGCAATACATATGTCACTCTATGTGGGTGTGTACAGGGCTGGAGAGTGAGTGAAAACCCAATATAGCACTAAGTGTTACGACACAAACAAATTTTCAACTTTTTATAAATGATTCTAAGAAATTAATTATGCATAATCAGTATTACAGATTCAACAATTTAATCATTTAATTTAGTATTAATGCATAAATCTTGCACCGGTCTCAATTAATTCTAACTCTCTCAAACACACACATACACAGCTATGTGAAAGAGGAAGCTGCAAACAACCAAATTAGGCTGGGGCTGCGATGAAAAGGTGGTTTGGCCATAGTGCGTTAAAGCTTCCAGAAGGGACTTGGAAAATGGATTGAAAACCTTGGTAGGGAGGACCACGGTTCGATCCCCCGCAACTGCGATCACTTGATGCCAGAACTGACCCCCGAATCGGACTATAACGGTGGTGAAAACCGGAAGAAAAAAATGGGTTGAAAACAATATTGTCAATGGTGGATGACAGTTTATGGCTGATGGCCAAAATTCCAAATAAAAAGGTGGTATTCCGCCACACCATTCTACCATAGCAGCTATTTGATAATTTGACAACATGGTCCTAAGAACACGAAGGGGCGAACAGGTGGTGGGGATGGAGGCAGCTTGGTTTTTTAATGGAAAAGGGATTTCTTGGTTTCCAACACTAAAATACTTCCAATTAAAAGGTGTCTAATACTAAAAACCCTCCTATTAAATTCAAAAAGGGGTGAACAAAACAAGGACTGTCCCTGTTCAGAATCGCTGCTGCAATATATGACTGTCCCAGTCCCTATGCGAACTATGCAATGCAGACAGGGATTTTTAAATTGGCAAAAGCAGCTCAGCCCTACATTGGCACCATAACCATGAGGTTCAGCACTATTAAGTGATAACTACTCTGCACAAAAAATAGATCCAAACTCAATACACCTAGGCAGTAGACCCACTCACCTAATACTATGCACAAAAACAAAATAACCAAAAAGGAAAAATCTTGTTTGACTATTATAGGTGTTTCAAGCAGTACATGACCATATCAGGGATTTTCATTTACTAAAAGTGTACTCGACAAACCATCTATTTGGAATTTCTCCTTGGCCTAGCTGGCAGCCTCCTCATCACAGACTACCCAAGCAGCTAAAACATGCAATAGACATAATGTTTTGGCTGTACGGCACCCCTAACTCAGAGATTACAGTTTCACAAAGCTCCAAACTTCTTTGAGAAATTGAATACCAACACATATCAATCTTTTCTAATAGTTCACAATTAAAGCGCTTATTCCCTAGCAGTAAGTTCTTTTCCCAATAAAGCAGGCCATAAACTCAACTAACAGCCCAATCAGCCTGACTCTACTATATGTCATATAACTGTCTAAAAAATCCTTAGCAACACATGACACGGAAATATACAGAAGGATTTTTTCACCTTTTCAAGAAACAATCTTTCCCCAACCAAAACCGCAAGATACAGTGTAAATAAATAAAAAATGAATCCAAAACCTAGAATCACTGAAACGAATTCCGCAAATCTGACCTAATAAGCAACAAAACGCGCATTCTAGCCGCTATTGAATTAAAACAAACAAGACAGATTTGCAAGAAAGAACCATGGGAAATCAATATTCGCTACAAGATGTGCAACAGATCAAATTGCAAAAACCAAATCAAGATACAGTAGAACAACCGATGAAAAATCAGCAAAAAATATTCCGGATCCGCGAGTAAAAAACTGTGTAGAGAAATTAGATTTACCTCTTGTTCGGACAGGGGTTTGCACTGCATGAGCTGAGCAATCTGCTCATCGAGATTTCCATGGGAATTGGAAGGCACCGAATCCATTTTGAAATCCTCCACCTCCTAACCCTTCGTTGCTGGATCAATATCCAGTTTTGGAATCGATGGAAACCCTAGATCTAAGTCGGAAAAGCCCTTTTGCGTTTTCGATTATTGTTACTAGTTTGTTGTTTATGGCTTTTAGAGAGAGAAAGAGATGAAAAGGTGGTGGTGATGAAGAAACCAAAGCGTTGGAGGGTTCGATGGGCTCGTTTTGTTCGATAACCACTCCTTTTTTGGGGGCAAAATTATATTAATAATAATTGCAATGCTAGCTTAACAAAATCCCGGATTCATACTTTTAGATTTTTTTTTTTACAATAACTTTAGATTTGGACTTCCGAAGTATGATTTGAATATCTCTTCTCCTTTTCTTTTCGTTTTTTTACGGCCTTTGAATATATCTCCTTGATTAGTGACTAATAATTTTGATATATCAAAGTTTTGTATAAATAAAGAAAAAAAACAGTTAGTGTCCTACTAAACTTAATTGAAAAGGTTGTGGAATTTTGATAAATTAATAAATAATATTGGATTGTCATAGTCCAAATCTACGAACTATTTTATCCATTTATATTTATGCCGGATGCACAATAAATTTTAAATGGATTAATCAATTAAATCATATGTTCCACAATTAGGCAACATCTTTATTTCCTAAAATTTTATTAGAAATGAGTCTCCACCACAATCTTTCATGAAGCAAGGTTGGTCTGGTCAAGATCAAGGAAATAGTCTTAAGATTCGACATAACTCACTAAATCATAGTGGATTATATTGAGATGTCACTTTTTTCCAAATCATGCTCTCATAGCTATTTTGTTTGGCACGTGACAAGTAGGGTCATTGTTACTTTACTAAGAATAAGTATAATTAGTGTCCATCATTTGATCTGATAAAATATTATTCGATCATACATTTTCAAGAGTTGTGTTCATCTTTCTATCGTTTCACAATAGAGGACACACGTATAATATCAAATTCTTGTGATCAGGAAGCCCTGACGAAAATGCAGGTCTCGATGGATAACTTATCCTGCCATAACCAAAACCTATAAGCAACTGTTCAGATAGTCCAGCAGCAACACCAGGAAGATTATGTGTTATAGGAGGGGGTAGAAATTAAATACCCTTAATATTTTTTGTTGAAATTTGGGATGTTATAGTCTCATGGAATATCGAGTTACTTCATTTGGTGAGTTTTATATGAATAGTAAGCATCATAAGCATGCCACCGCCTTTATCACACAGATGGTGATCATTTGGTATGTGAATCTTCTTGAATTATTTGTAACTAACTCTTATAATCTAACCAATAAATTAATCTAATTGATGTCGATCAATAAACACTACAAGATTTCCATCACAGTTCTCTTCAACATATGTCAAGGATAATCTAGGCCCTTATGTGAATACTTAGTGTGTTATAACGAAGTCATCGTCAAGGTGGTAAACCTTAATTATGAGATGTTTGTAGAAGCCTTCAAGAATTGGCCGAAAGATGAACATTTCAATAAGCCCTTGGCCTAAAGACATACATAAGCAATGAAGGAAATAATTTTGATAGAAGAGTGTCATGGAAAGTGTGAGGATGACAGTACAAAAAAATTTAGAGACACATAGGAAAGAAGCATCAATGGATCAGACTCGTTCGCCCAACGAATAGACAATTATCACAAACCAGTCAAAGACAAAGGAACTTTTAAACCTCCAGCTAGAAGGCATGTGGAAACTATCCACCTTTGAACACAAGGTGAAAACAAATATGGAAAAAAGCTTATCACATGAGGCTCAATCCTGAACCCCCAACCCCATATGGGAGGTTATGGGAAACCAACCAAACAAATGGTACAAATACCATAAGGTAAAAGGTCACCATATAAAAGATTTCCACCCATTGAAGAAAGTGATAAAGCATCTTATTCAAGAAGAGCATTTCAGGATAGCGTTTATAGTGTGCCAGCTAACTCTAGAGCCAAAGCTCGATTCTCAATGAGTAATAGGCTTAGAAGTTCCTAACTCGTAAGAGATATGGAAATATAATAAATGAGTGAATAGAGACATATTTGCCACACCTTCGACGCCATAGCTGGAGGAAATTCTAGAGGGGAAAAACTAACTCTCTACACATAGGATATGATTTTCAGGTGATGCACGTCAATGACTCACCCTAAAAACCTCAGTCATTTTTCATCACTTTCTTGCATAGAGACATAACTAGAATCATATCTTGTAAACCATGTGGTCATCAGTGTGTAGATGTTTAATTGGAACATAAAGTTGATATATATGGATCCTAAAATCTCTATTGATATCATTTATTGGGACACCATTAGACGATTGTCGATAGATCCTGGACACTTATGACTTTTTAAAGGATCTATAGTATGTGTGGTTCTATTGTTGTATGGGTAATGTCGTCACATAGTTTTGATGATGAAAACTCTTGCAGTAGTTATTGATGAGGATATATGAATAAGAAATAAAAAAGACAAGCCTCATGGGACAAATGTTTCACGTTCTACCTGAAAGTTTTATACAATGTTAAATTAAGCAATGAAACATGAAGTTATGAAGTTAAAGTTGTGAACTTAAAGATATGAAAATGTGAAAGCTCACTCAATCTTTCACTTAGCATTTTATCTTATTTTAGATTAATTAAGGAGGCTTGTCATCGTTTAAGTGATGTTGAAACTCAAAGTTTCCTTTTTGGGCTTGGAATAACCGATTAATATATAGTGTTAATCGATTAAAATTTAAAAAGTATCATGGTTATTTCTTTTTTTAGCTATATATATATATATATATATATATATATATATATATATATAAAGGAGGATTCTCTTCATTCAAAATACACCATTTTTATGAATAGAAACTTTCTCCTATCTTTCTATCTCTTGTTTTTTTATAAAGTCTTTTTCACTATAGTTGCCTTAGCTTCACCTGAGAGTTGTGTTGTATGGGTGTTGTGTTATAATTGTTTATTCAATATTGTAGTTTTCTTGTGATCCTTTAGTAATAGGTTTGAAGGTTGCAAGTCAAGCTTGGGTTAAGGTTATTGAGTTGAACCTATGTAAAAGCTCTGGTTGATTGAGGTTATTGAGTTAAGTGTGTGTAAAATTTCTAGTTGTTTGAGGTTATTAAGTAAAGCATGTGTAAAATCTCTATTTATTTGAGGTTATTGAGTTAGGTATGTGTAAAAGCATTTAGTGATCTTGTAATATTTTTTTGATTGATCTTGTGCAAAAGCTCAAGTTGTTTCTAAGGTTGTTTGGATTGATCCCATGTAAAAGCTCAAAGTTGTTTTAGTGTAAATCTCAAGAGGAAACTCTTAGGGACTGAATAAGTCAAGTGGTTTAGGTAGAACCAGAATAAATCTTTGGGGAGATCTTTATGTCCCTTTCTCTTTTATTTTTGTTATTTTCCTATTATGCTGCTTATTTCTCTGCATGTTTACTATTATTCTATTGTTTTATATTTATTTATTTATATCTTCTAATACCATATGAGGGCTCCGATTTACAAGCGTTCAATAGAACCACCATCCGTCAATGAGGTTACGTAGAGCTAATGGTGTAACACCCCAAATATTTCAATTAATCATTTAATTAGTTATTTATGATTTTTTGTGACTTATTGATGAAAATATATGATGTATTGTTGAAGGTGGTGTGTTGTATATGTTGTGTTATGGGGTAGTGTGAGTTATGGATGAACATGAGGAGTATTTACATTTTAGATAATTAGTATAATTATTTAGAATTATTTTAATTAGTAAAACAGAGATAATATATGTTGTAGATATGATAAGGGTGAGGTGGTAATATTCATAATAATTAGTAAGGGTAAGTTGGGAAAAGCATATTAGGGGTCCAAGGGGTATGTTTAACAAAAAAGGGAATTGGGGGTTTTGTTACGTTCATTCTGTAGGATTGTATTTTGAGAGTGCGACTGTGGAAGAATAACTAAGGCATTTAGGAACCAAGGATTCTTGTAGAAAGCGTAAAGAAAATATCCAAGCTAGGAATCTAAGGTAAGGGGTGATCCTTATTATTATAATCGATACGGGATTTAGATGTAGGTAGGTTTGTTTGAGGTTTTGTGATGAATTGATTATAAGATAATTGTGATGAAATTGGTGAATTATGGTGTGTAAAATACTATTATTTGATACCTATAATATGTATGATAATCTGTTGTTGTTGTTGTATGATAACATATTGATTTTTGATGAAATTGGGATTGTACTGGTATGAAATCGCATGAGAATTGGGACTGAACAAGTGTAGAAATCGCAACAAGGAATCCATGTTCTGCATGCAGCGTCGGGCAAGCCACATGCAGCGTTGGGCAAAGCAATTTCGTTTGAGCAGCGTCGGGTGAGCTTTGGGCAAGAAAACATATAATTTTAGCTGCTCTTGGAAAATATATGGGAGGAGAAGTGTTGCCCCATCGTCATGGGTGAGCCTCAGGCGAGCAAACAGTTTTGTCGGGCGAGCCTCAGGCGAGTGGGTAGATGACAATTTTTGGTTCTTTGTTGTTTTACGTTGTTTTGAATATGTTGTATGTTGTATAATAACGAATGAGATCATGACTTGTTGTATTATGATCTCATGAAATGAAGCAAGGTTGGTATGGTAAAGGTCATGGAAATAGTCTTAAGATTCGACATAACCCATTAAATCATAGTGGACTATATTGAGATGTCACTTTTTCCCAAATCATGCTCTCATAACTATTTTGTTTGGCATGTGAGAAGTAGGGTCATTGTTACTATACTAACAATAAGTACAATTAGTGTCCATCATTTGATCCGATAAAATATTATTCGGCCTTACATTTTCAAGAGTTGTGTTCATCTTTATATCATTTCATAATAGAGGACACATGTATAATATCAAATTCTTGTGATCAGGAAGCCCTGACAAAAATGCAGGTCTCGATGGATGACTTGTCCTGCCATAACCAAAACCCATAAGCAACTGTTCAGATAGTCCAGCAGCA